GTACCAAGTTTCATTGAAATGTAATGCTAACTACTTATATCAAATGCTAAATTAATTAATTATGCAAATTAGGTAATTAATATGTACTGATATTACCATAAAAACTATCAGGTCTGTGCAGTGTCGTATGACATCTATGTACCAAGTTTCATTGAAATGTGATGATTAGTACTTGAGATATCAGTGGAAAAACCGAAAATTGACTAATCATTATGCAAATTAGGTAATTAGTATCCACGGATTATTACCAAAAACTAATCAAAACCTAGCATTAGTTCAGAGCATCTATGTACCAAGTTTCATCAAAATCCAATGAGTGGTTGTTTAGATATCAGTGGAACAGTCATGGAACCACTAAAAAATAGCTAATTATCATGCAAATTAGGTAATTAATATGCACGGATTTTTACCAAAAATTAATCAAATCTGCGCATATGTTCAGAGCATCTATGTACCAAGTTTCATCAAAATCCAATGAGTGGTTCTTTAGATATCAGTGGAACAGTCATAGAACAGCTAAAAATTAGCTAATTATCATGCAAATTAGGTAATTAACGAGCATGGATTTTTACCAAAACCTAATCAAATCTGCGCATTGGCCCAGAGCATCTATGCACCAAGTTTCATCAAAAACCGATGTATGGTTCTTGAGATAGCAGTGGAACAGTCGGACACACATACACACATACACACATACACACATACACACATACACACATACAGACACACTAACTGCAAAGACTCCCATTTTGTGCTTCGCACATGGGAGTCAAAAAATGATTGCTTGTAAAAAATGAACAACAGAAAACCAGAAATATTGTTTTTAGGAAAGTCCTGTATTTCAGTGCATTCTGTACTATTTATATTTCATCTGTAACTGTTCAGTTGTTAGGGATACGCTAAAATCCGGTAGCACTTTCACATGCAAGTGTAGATGTAAACAATTGGCAATACTGTGAGTCATGCATACCCTAAGTTAAAAGATTCATTGTAGCGACCATGAGCAACTTTTATGTTTTGAACCTCATTATAAGGTGTGTGTGTGTGTGCGTGCGTGCGTGTGCTTGCGTGCGTTTGTGTGCGTGTGTGTGTGGAAGGGGGAGGTTAAGCTCCTATAGTTAAGGTATAAAAGGGATGCATCCCTGTTTTGATTGAGTGAATTTTTTGACAAAAAAGCATCATCAACACATGTTTTTTGATCCAGTTTTCAACTGGCTGCAGAGTACTTCAAAGCGAGTACATCTCCCACCTCTCTGTACTACACATGAAAAATAACAGAGCAGTTTAGTTCACACACTTTGTGGACAGTGTTAATTTACATTAACTTACTTTAAATGTACAACTAAACTTGACAATGGTTGTGATACTTTGACCTCATTCTTCTTATTCTTAATTCGTATCAGTAATTTATCACGTAATACCTTGGCCAAATAAAGCTCACCATCACATAACAGTTTAAAAACTAAGTCTGTTAATATTTCTATAATATCATCTTCAATCCGACCTCTGAAATTAAACAAACGTGAATGTTGAAATACAACTGACAATCTAGGTTCAAGGTAATTCAGAAAGTAACATCTGAACAGAATTATGAGTAACTGCATCAAATAGCAATCAAGGATTATGAACAATGACATAAAATCAAAATCTATTTTCAAGGTAATTCAGAAAGAAACAGATGACCTAGACAAAAAGTACAACATAGAAATTGTGGCTAATGTCGCAAACAGACAGACTAGCAAATATTGAACACATGTACTTACATCAGTTCATCCGCAACTCTCAGCAGCAAGAAAAAAGCATTTTTACTTGCTCTTTTATACTTGACATCGGCCATTGGACGGAACTTGTCATACTTGGAAACAGTTAACAAAAACATAGTGAAACTAAAGAAGCCTTGCCTCAGACATTATGCATTATTTTAACAACTTTCTCAAAATTATTAAACAATGAGTGTTACATTTGATGTCAATTTTGAATCTTCCTACATTTTAGGTCATCTTTGCCAGCCAAATTTTAACTATAATATATTCTCTTGAATATGCATTCGGGAAGAGTGAAAGGTCTTAATTTGGTTCTATAATAGGCGTCACGAAATGTTGAAAAATTAGTTAATCAAAAAAACTGTTCACATAGTAAAAAAAATACTATTAAATATATATATATATATATATAAATAAATAATGTAATATGCATTTATTTTTTCAATTTTGTTGGTAACGAAAATTAATTATAATTATAGAACCTCAATTAATGTGGGAATATGATTTCTAATTCTAACGTCTGGATATGCAATGAGATAAAACACTTAGAATGCAGACAAAGCTGATATGTCTTCAATTGCACAAACTAATTACGATATGATTTCTAATTCTCCCAACATCATAATATGCAAATGAATGACACAATTGGAACACACTGACAAAGTCAAAATATCTGGTATGTCACACAAGCTAAGGTGCAAAAAAACCAAAAAAAACAAATTGATAGAATCAATTAGATTTCAGGACTGAAAGTTGTATGAGACCAAATTTTAAAACAAACAAAAATATTATTGATGTAAAGATTCGAGTATACCCAGCACCTTCTCAACAACAAATTATCATTTGCCTCTAAGACTGGAAAGGATATCTATAAAGTAACTTGTTGATGAGTTCTTCGGGACTAATAAAAGTCCTGTAAGTCGTTAAAAAGGCTTCTCTGAACACAAAATCTGAAATTAAATATAAATTAAAATTACTTATGATTAAAATGTTTTACTTACTCTTGTTGACATTTACTAGTTTCCCTCAATATTGGACCCAGAAACCTAAACGTGTTTTGTTTATTCTCAACGTTTTCTATTTTTTTCAGAAAGAGAGGAATTAACAGAAAATTTAATTATTCTGATTTTTGAAGTATATTAAGTGTCACATGATATGATATGCCGTGAACCAGTACGGTTACTCAGCAGCAGCCATCTTGAATTTTAAACTGAAATAGTACTCTATTAAAGGAGGTGGTCAAAATCAAACCAGCGGTTTCTGGCCAAGTATCAGCGGAGCTCCAGGGAAAAGAGGAAAACAAAGAACCACACAGAATTTTCACAAATCTAGCTTCAAATTTTTAGAATTATCTTTTTTATTTATACTCTAAATAATTAATATCTCATCACCTAACCACAATCTTAAAATTAAATGCAAGTGAAAATAAATGGTTTTACAGTTATTATTGTTAGTGTACCGGTACCTTTTCCTGCACCAGCAGCATGTACAATAAGAGCTTCCACCGAACCACCACGTACATCTGGACCATCTTCTGTCTGAAACGTACACAAATATTAGCATTTCACTAAAACGATGTAATGAATATGTTTGGATCAATAAACAAGTCTCAGCAACAACAATGTTGGGGTACTGCCACAATAAAACTTGGAGCATTCAGAGAGGGAAGGGGGGGGGGGGGTAGGGGCATGCGCATGAGCTTGGGCTTGGGCTTGGGTTCACAATGTCTTTTCTGACCAACAACCATCATAATTTGAAATGTTGCATAGTGAAACCATACCTACCTTACACCCATTTTATAGAGAGATGTCTGCCTAAATTTTAAAGCAAGAACATGTTCAACCTGACTGGGAAGCCAGCGAGTTAGCCATAGCCTAGTCTGATGGACATGAGGGTTGGGCGAGCCTGTCTTTGGGTGTATGCTTGGGTGATTTACCCAATAGCTAATGATATTTAATGTTTAATACCTACACAGTGGTCTGACTGAGCAAGCAGTAATTCTTTCTGGTTTTCAATCATGAAATTATCACCATTTGAGCTTCCCACAAGGCCAGACTTGTAATCCTGTGTCAGTAGTGATAAGTCACCCTGTAAATTCACTGTCTTCACGACAAGAAGCATCAGGTGTACTGGATCTACACACTACTGAATGGTGCCAATTTAGAAGCACAGCTGACATATGTTATCAACAGAATTTTTTCTAGTACATCATGAACCACGGGGAATGGTGGGAACGTATATACATCCAGATTATATTTACAAATGCGAGATGGTCAAGATGAAATGACACATACCATTTGAGCTTAAAGTTTCTGGCAAAGGTGAATAGCTCTATCAGGGGTGTTGCCCACAGAGGAAACAGGCTGTTTACTAGTCCTGAGATACTGGTCAGTCATTCGTCAAGTACAGGTACCTCTCTAACATCTACCACAGGGGGAAGCATATACTTAATACTGGTTTCATGGAAATCAAAAGATGTCTAACATACACCACAGAGGGCAGCATATACTTACAGGTTTCATGGAAATAAATAGATGTCTAATATATACCATAGATGGCAGCACATACTTACTGGTTTCTTTGGAATTATTAGATGTGTAACATCTACCACAGAGGGCAGCACATACTTACTGGTTTCTTTGGAATCAATAGATGTCTAACATCCAACAGATCCAAGGTTTTCTCTTCTGTATCCGATTTACTTTCATTTCTGTCTGCATCACTGCCACTTAGCGCTGTATTCTCTTTACTGAAATCAAAACAAGTTTTTCAATGTGAAAAGAAAGAGAGGTAGAAAGAAGATTCAGAAGATGTCATAAGAGGCAAAAGCTTCACTGAAGGCATCAGACCGCCGAACGAAAAACAAAATCGATGTGAGCGTCCAAACGTGACTTTCCCTGAAGGCGTGAATCCGAGTTTCTGATTGACTGGGAGATTTTATTTTTAAATAATTGTTCTCAAAAACTAAAATGAGCATGTGAAAAATAATTTAACATTGTTTACAGTGATAACAGCTCATTGTCGAAACGAAGCTTACCCATTCACGCTAGTCACAATAAACATCATACTCTTGAATAGACGTCAATGACTACAGTAAACTTAGACTCTATTTTAGGCGTCAGGAATGATTGAAATGTCCAAAAATGACGCCAAAATACACCTTAAAAGTCCCATTTTATTTTTTTCTAAATCTCATTCCGAATTTACGGCAGAATCTGGTCCCTCAAATAAGGGACACGTGAGCTTTGATTCTAACTGGATATATTGCACTGGGTCGGGGAGATACAAACTTTCACGTATCTTTTGTACTTCGATCATTCGCAAGTTTTGCTAGGTGGTGCGAGACAGCTTTGTTCGTAACCGAACAAACTCCATTTACTTCAATGAAACAACTGACAATGCTAAAATAAATTGCAGAGGTACCCTAAATTTAATTGAAAACAAGCAAATAATTTTCATGAAAAATAAATCACAGGGAGAGGTAATTTGATACATTAACAACTCTTTTGACCTATCTATTAGTTTTGCGCTGACCGCTTCTCCGCATCTGATGTTTTGTTTTCCTTGTCATAATACTTACTGATTGATGACTTTGTTTTGATTTTGATTTTTTAGCCTACAACTCGGCCACAACCTTTGCTTTTACCGTGAAAAATAGGGAAGTTTACGTCAATTTGACGGACATTCCATTTTTTTAAAACTAACGAAGCACACTGTCTAGCATCCCCATTTTTCTCATTTGCTGATTTCTATCCAGAAAAATTCGACCGCTCGAAAATGCACGTTAGTTTTGCACTCTAAAAACATGTCAGATTTCTAAAACCAATTATTTAAAACCGGTCAAAATTTTATAACTTTTACGGTATGTGCTGGAGCTCTCTTCTTGCAGGTGACCGTCGCCGGTAGTACAACAGCATGTTTCGTACGTGCATCCATGTGACTGTCTTAGAAAATCCCTGAATAGCGCGCACCAAAATCAGTAAAAATAAAAAATTGCCTCCTTAAAAACAAACATAATTCAAATATTTCTTTTAACAAATATGTTGCAGAGGGAAAAATGGGATTGGAAACGCTGAACAAAACTTCTGTGCCTCGCGTTTCGATTCTAGGGTTACGCGATTATTCATTATTGTGCGTTCGCTTCCTGGAGTTGGTTCTCAATACTACATAAAAATCATCAAGGATAAATAATTTAATATCCCACTTTGTACTCTTCACGGTAAACCATAGGCTCTGAAATACATTGAAAATACATGGAAGAGAAGCCATGATGTTTTGGTCGTGATAAAAAGTCACCTTCTTAGGACCGCCCCCTGTTTAATAAATCATGAGATGACGTCATATTTACTGGGCATTGCCACGTGTTTTTACCGACCCCATCAAAACACTGGTATGAATGACGTGTTTCTGATTTATATATCCAAGAGCAGTTGTTCTGATTCAACGATTTTACATCAAATGTCTATGTCTATACGTTAATTTTCAATTTCAATAGTCTAGAAAGTATGACGAAGTATGACAATGCAGTAATTTCCTGTTGAACACGCAAATATGCAAATTAGCCTTTTTCTCGTCTTCTATTTTTGGTGAATTCTTGGGTTTTAAATTAAAATAGCTGATAGACGCTTTGGCATTTGAAATTTTCACATATTATTGACAAGGTGCTCCCCCTTCAAAATGCGTCCGGACAGTTTATTACGGCGAGTGGAACAAAAATAACAAGTCCGCAATTAATATAGATATATAAATTATGCAAAAATAGGAAAGAGTGAACTTTGAGGTGATGCTGTGCGACTTTGAAAGCCGTTAGAGAGATGAGTGGACACATTTGAATTAGTAGTATACCAAGGTATCCAGTGATGTAATTTTACCCACAAACAGACTTGAAGTTTTTAAGCTAATTTTTTTCAAACCACTTTTGCCCAAAAAAGCATATTTTTGACCCAAAATCAAAAACACATTCTGGATATTTAAAATAAAGACAAGTTTTACAAAGTTTGTATAATAAGCTTTCAGAAAATATATAACATGTTGGACATATAATACCATCTTCATTGTCTAATTACTCAATTTCAAAAGCAAGCCTAATAAACTGCATATCTACCTTAAGTTACCTGCATTAATAGAAAACTGTCCTAACATGACTTCTTAAGTCAACTGTTTAAATGAAAAAAAATCCATAAGATTCAAGAAGTAACTTGTCTCATGATCTATGGCAAACATTGTAACCTGACTCCATGAAGGGCACTGGTCAATGGGTCCCACACAAACAAAGATGAAGATTTTTTTTTCACATATCATCAAGATGCTTGATTACATTTTCTTGATTATAAAAACACAAAGGATGAAGCTAAACTTACTTGAATTGATGCGAAGAGATAGCTGGTAAATTAGCACATGCACCAGTTTCAATCATACTATGAGATTTGTGATCTGAATTGCCTGCCTCCCAGTATGTTGTTTTTTCAGGAGACGTTTTTGGTCTCAATCGTCCAATTTCCTGAAATAACGGTTAGGTTATTCAGAAGATGGTTAAAAAAATGTCATAGAATCACCTAATGACCAACATGAATACATCCCTAACTAAAATGAATACACCCCTAACTAAAATGAATACAACCCTGACTAACATGAATACATCCCTGACTATCATGAATACATCCCTGACTATCATGAATACATCACTGACTGTCATGAATACATCCCTGACTATCATGAATA